TCTCCTCATAGGACATACCTCTTAACTCTGGGACTAGTCTTGTTGCAAACCTTTGCACTTTCTCTAGTTTCTTTACGTGCTTGGCTAGGTGTGGGTTCCAAACTGGTGCCGCATACTCCAATATGGGCCTAACGTACACGGTGTACAGGGTCCTAAACGATTCCTTATTAAGATTTTCGGAATGCTGTTTCTGAGGTTTGTTAGGCGCCCATATGCTGCAGCAGTTTATTTGGTTGATGTGCACTTCAGGAGATGTGCCTGGTGTTATACTCACCCCAAGATTTTTTCCTTGAGTGAGGGTTTGTAGTCTCTGGCCTCCTAGACTGTACTCCGTCTGCGGTCTTCTTTGCCCTTCCCCAATCTTCATGACTTTGCACTTGGTGGGATTGAACTCCAGGAGCCAATTGCTGGACCAGGTCTGCAACCTGTCCAGATCCCTTTGTAGTTCTGCCTGGTCTTCGATCGAGTGAATTCTTCTCATCAACTTCACGTCATCTGCAAACAGGGACACCTCAGAGTCTATTCCTTCCGTCATGTCGTTCACAAATACCTGAAATAGCACTGGTTCTAGGACTGACCCCTGTGGGACCCCGCTGGTCACAGGTGCCCACTCTGACACCTTGCCACGTACCATGACTCGCTGCTGTCTTCCTGACAAGTATTCCCTGATCCATTGTAGTGCCTTCCCTGTTATCCCTGCTTGGTCCTCCAGTTTTTGCACCAATCTCTTGTGTGGAACTGTGTCAAACGCCTTCTTGCAGTCCAAGAAAATGCAATCCACCCACCACTCTCTCTCTTGTCTTACTGCTGTCACCATGTCATAGAACTCCAGTAGGTTTGTGACACAGGATTTCCCGTCCCTGAAACCATGTTGGCTGCTGTTGATGAGATCATTCCTTTCTAGGTGTTCCACCACTCTTCTCCTGATAATCTTCTCCATGATTTTGCATACTATACATGTCAGTGACACGGGTCTGTAGTTTAATGCTTCATGTCTGTCTCCTTTTTTAAAGATTGGGACTACAATTTGCTGTCTTCCCATGCCTCAGGCAATCTCCCTGTTTTGATAGATGTATTGAATATTGTTGTTAGGGGTACACATAGCGCCTCTGCTCCCTCTCTCAATACCCATGGGGAGATGTTATCTGGCCCCATTGCCTTTGAGGTATCTAGCTCACTCAGAAGCCTCTTCACTTCTTCCTCGGTTGTGTGCACTGTGTCCAGCACATGGGGGTTTGTGCCCCACCTCTCCGTCTTTCTGGAGCCCCTTCTGTCATCCTCTGTGAACACTTCTTTGAATCTCTTGTTGAGTTCTTCACATACTTCACGGCCCATTTCCTGTTGTCTCTCCTCCTTCCTTCCTTAGCCTGATTACCTGGTCCTTGACTGTTGTTTTCCTCCTGATGTGGCTGTATAACAGTTTTCGGGTCAGATTTGGCTTTCGCTGCTATGTCATTTTCATATTGTCTTTGGGCCTCCCTTCTTATCTGTGCATATTCGTTTCTGGCTCTACGACTGCTCTCCTTATTCTCCTGGGTCCTTTGCCTTCTATATTTCTTCCATTCCCTAGCACACTTGGTTTTTGCCTCCCTGCACCTTTGGGTAAACCATGGGCTCATCCTGGCTTTTTCATTATTCCTATTACCCTTGGGTACAAACCTTTCCCTCAGCCTCCTTGCATTTTGTTGCTACATATTCCATCATCTCATTAACTGGCTTCCCTGCCAGTTCTCTGTCCCACTGAACCCCGTTCAGGAATTTCCCCTCATTCCTGTGTAGTCCCCTTTCTTGTAGTTTGGCTTCATTCGTCCTGGCCTTCCTGCTTCTCCCTCCACTTGTAGCTCTACTGTGCATTCGAAGCTTAAAACCATATGGTCACTGGCCCCAAGGGGTCTTTCATATGTGATGTCCTCGATATCTGCACTACTCAAGGTGAATACTAAGTCCAGACTTGCTGGTTCATCCTCTCCTCTCTCTTTTGTAGTGTCCCTTACGTGTTGGTACATGAAGTTTTCCAGTACCACCTCCATCACCTTAGCCCTCCATGTATCTTGTCCCCCATGCGGGTCCAAGTTCTCCCAATCGATCTCCTTGTTGTTAAAGTCACCCATGATCAGGAGCTTTGCCCTGCATGCATGAGCTCTTCTGGCCACACATCACTGCTATTACCACCTTGGGACCTCCAGAGTGAAGCGTTCCCGCTATGTAATCACTTTCTTCTCCCCTGTCTCCTCTCTCCAGCTCATCAAAATTCCAGCATTTTTGATCAGCAATGCCACTCCTCCACCCTCCCCCCCCCCCTGTTCCCTCTGTCTTCCCTCAGGATTTGGTATCCCGTTGGAAAAATGGCATGTGTTATCATACCTGTAAGCTTGGTTTCTGTGAGAGCTATGATGTCCGGTGTTGTGTGTGTGTTGTGTGTGTGTGTGTGTTGTGTGGTGGTGTGTGTGTGTGTGTGTGTGTGTTTGTGTGTGTATGTGGTATGTGTGTGTGTATGTGTGTATGTTTGTGTGTATGTGTGTGTGTGTGTGTGTATGTGTGTATGTTGTGTGTGTATGTGTGTATGTGTGTGTGTGTCTGTGTGTGTGTGTGTGTGTGTGTATATGTGTGTGTATGGGTGTGTGTGTGTGTGTATGTGTGTATGTTGTGTGTGGTGTGTGTGGCGTTTGTGTAAAGTGTGTATATGTGTGTGTGTGTGTGTGTATGTGAGTGTGTGTATGTGTGTATGTGTGGTGTAATGTGTGTGTGTGCATTGTGTATGTGTGTGTATGTGTGTATGTGTGTGTGTATGTGTGTATGTGTGTGGGTATGTGTGTAGTGTGTGTTGTATGTGTGTTGTGTATGTGTGTGGTGTGTGTGTGTGTGTGTGGTGTGTGTGTGTGTGGTGTGTGTGTGTGTGTGTGTGTGTGTGTGTGTATGTGTGTGTGTGACAGACAGTGAGGTGTGTGTGTGTGTATATATTCACCGTGAGGCGTATGGCTTTCAGTGGAAATACACCTAAGTGTTTATATACGCTGAGGTGTATGGCTTTGTGTATATACTGCGAGGTTGTCTTTCAGTGTATATAGACAAGGGTATATCTCTCTGTGTATATACACAGAGGCGTATATCTCTCAGTGTACATACACAGAGGTGTATATCTCTCAGTGTATATACACAGAGGTGTATATCTCTCTGTGTATATACACTGAGAGGTGTATATCTCTCAGTGTATATACACAGAGGTGCATATCTCTCAGTGTATATACACAGAGGGGTGTATATCTCTCAGTGTATATACACAGAGGTGTATATCTCTCAGTGTATATACACAGAGGTGTATATCTCTCAGTGTATATACACAGAGGTGTATATCTCTCTGTGTATATACACAGAGGTGTATATCTCTCAGTGTATATAGACTGAAAATTGACATTGTAAGTAATATTTTTAAATACAACAAAAGCAGTAATAAATTCCGAAATACATCCCAATTTATTTTTTTAATGCAACCTTAAATGAGAAAAAAAGAACTCGAGAATCTGAATTTAATAAACCTAAAATTCCGCAATATTTTTAGACCTATTTTATAAGCAAATAAAGACTAAATCAGAGGCCTACAATATTCCCCAATCTGAAGATGGTATTGAAAGGGAATGGGAATGAGATTGGTAATGGGAATTAGATTGGGAATGGGAATGATATTGAGATGGGAATGAGATTGGGAATGGGAATGAGGTTGGTAATGGGAACGAGACTGGTAATGTGAATGAGATTAGGAATGGGAATGAGATTGGGAATGGGAAGCGTGTGACGAGATTTTTTCTTCATAGCCAAGAATTACGGTATACGGAAAACACACACACACACACACACACACACACACACACACACACACACACACACACACACACACAGCCTTCGAGTCAGCCCAGGGAGGTGGAATTGCTAGTGCTGGTTCTGCAACATGCATGAACGCCTCTCGCAAGGTAGCAAAAGAAACCAATCTTGAAAAATTGATGAATCAATCTCTAAATATGCAAAGAACTGGATCAAGTCGTATAAAAAAAGTGGAGGATTCAGTGGTATCAAGATAGTGGTGGATTCAGTGGTATCAAGACAGTGGTGGATTCAGTGGTATCATGATAGTGGTGGATTCAGTTGTATCAAGACAGTGGTGGATTCAGTGGTATCATGATAGTGGTGGATTCAGTGGTATCAAGACAGTGGTGGATTCAGTGGTATCGTGATAGTGGTGGATTCAGTGGTATCAAGACAGTGGTGGATTCAGTGATATCATGATAGTGGTGGATTCAGTGGTATCATGATAGTGGTGGATACAGTAGTATCATGATAGTGGTGGATTCAGTGGTTTTAAGATAGTGGTGGATTCAGTGGTATCATGACAGTGGTGGATTCAGTGGTATCAAGATATTGGAGGAGTCAGTCGAATCGAAACAGTAGAGGATTCAGTGGTATCAAAATAGAGGACTCGGTGGTATCAAGATAGTGGAGAATTCAGTCGCATCAAGAAAGTGGGCCAGGAGCTGTAAACCATGATGGTCTGTTACGTGGTTCAAAGTTAGGCATGCAGATTCCTCTCAGCCTTTGGCCAGAACTCGACAAATGGAATTTGCCTACAAAAAATAAAAGTTTTGGGATATCCGCTTTGGTAAGTGGATGTTGAGAGTATTGAACGTGCTGGCAAGTCGACTCGCTTGCAAAAATGTGGACTGGAATTGCACGCTGCACGTGACCTTCTAAAGAAAGAGGGAGACAGATTTATAGTAACTTGCTTCGGCAGTACATATACAGTAGGTCCTCACTTAACGTCGTTTCGTTCAACGTCATTACAGTTTTCGCATTGCAGACATTTATTCCTCGAGTTATCGCTGTTGCAATGAGTGCTAAGGGTGCACTGTGAACCCCTCATGTTTATATCAATTAGCCTATGGCAAAATTGATTTCATTATAAGTCGTTTAGCTTAAAGTCGAAGTTTCCAAGAACTTATCAACGACGTTGAGTGAGGACTTACTGTATTAAAACTGAAACGATACAAGGAAGATCAGTATGTGCCCCGAGCAAGAATAACATGCAAATTCGTGAAGCGTTCCATATTTTTCGAACCCTGACTGAGGACCGGGCCACAGGGGGCGCTGACCCCCGGAACACCCTCCAGGTAACAATTTGCCTGTTTATGAACACGGGTACAAAGCCACTAGCTATTGATGCTGAACAATTTGTCCTGTGCTCTACAATCGCTGGGGAATAGGAGGAGGTGTAGAGCAGGTGTAGAGCAGGTGTAGAGTAGGTGTGTAGATGCAACATGCGTTTTGGAGAGCAAATGTACGACAGGTGTATATAGTTGCAACAGGTGTTTAAGAAAGCAGGTGTAAGACAGGTGTGTAGCTGCCACACATGTTTAGGTATTCAGGTGTGTGTCCTCCTGGTGTGTACAGAACGGCAGGTGTAGTAGGGCAGGCAGGTGTGCGACCACCCCAAGTGTACAAGAATTCACTTGTCCTCCTCCACAACCTCACAGACAACTGCATAAAACATCGCCACAGACAGAGTAACAAAAGCAGAGGCTGCAGACCTTTTGTTCTGTTTCTTTTATAAAAGGCTTCCTTTGTCACTGCCGCCATTTAAATGCATTGTTATGTGTCCAATTTTTCTTAGAGACACAAAATTAATATTTACGTCTCCACTGTACTCTTTCAAAAATTTAAAATGCAAATAAATCCATATATATATATATATAAATATATATATATATATATATATATATATATATATATATATATATATATATATATATATATATATATATATATATATATATATATATATAATATATACTTTCAGAAGTGATTCTATGACTTTCAGCCGTGATTCTATAACTTTCAGACGTGATTCTATAACTTTCAGACATGATTCTCTAACTTTCAGAAGTGATTATGACTTTCAGCCGTGATTCTATGACTTTCAGATGTGATTCTATAACTTTCAGACGTGATTCTATAACTTTCAGACATGATTCTCTAACTTTCAGAAGTGATTATGACTTTCAGCCGTGATTCTATGACTTTCAGATGTGATTCTATAACTTTCAGACGTGATTCTATAACTTTCAGACATGATTCTCTAACTTTCAGAAGTGATTATGACTTTCAGCCGTGATTCTATGACTTTCAGCCGTGATTCTATAACTTTCAGACGTGATTCTATAACTTTCAGACATGATTCTCTAACTTTCAGAAGTGATTATGACTTTCAGCCGTGATTCTATGACTTTCAGAAGTGGTTCTATAACTTTCAGACGTGATTCTATAACTTTCAGACGTGATTCTATGACTTTCAGATGTGATTCTAAAACTTTCAGACATGATTCTAAAACTTTCAGACGTGATTCTTTACCTGAATTAGAAATATTTTGTTTATTATTCTTTGTGTAAAAGATCAGGAGAAATAAAGTGTAACGAAGGTGCCAAGAAGTGTAGTTTGTGTGACGTATACTGGCACTGGCACTGTTGTCGTGTGTGTATGTCGTTCCTAGTGGCGTTAAATGTCGTGTGGGTGACACTGGTAGTATTGTCGTTGTGTGTGTGAGTGTGTGTGTCGTTCAATCCCCTCATTTTGCATTCGAGTCCACGTCGTTCCGTCAGCCATTTCTAAACGTAAATCAGACGCGACGTGTCAAAAACTTCATTTAGACATCCGGAAAAGAACGTCGTTCAGACGAGATATCTGGAAAACGTCATTTAGACGCGACCAGAGCTCACAGTAAATTATTTGGAGCTCCCTGCCTCTCCCAGGGGCCGGAGTAAACAAGCTTAAAGCTGATGGATAAGGGTAAGCTGCTGCGCTAAGCTTACTCGACACTCATGTGTCCCGCTAAATTAAAACCCAGAGACGCTTTGCTGAGGAGACAAGTTAAGCTGAGAGGAATATATATGACGGCTTCTGAAAGGAATAAATGACGAGTTCTGAGAGGAATATATGACGACTTCTGAGAGGAATATATGACGACTTCTGAGGGGAATATATGACGACTTCTGAGAGGAATTTATGACGACTTCTGAGGGGAATATATGGCGGCTTCTGAAAGGAATATAGGACGACTTCTGAGAGGAATATATGACGACTTCTGAGAGGAATATATGACGACTTCTGAGGGGAATATATGACGACTTATGAGAGGAATATATGACGACTTCTGAGGGGAATATATGACGACTTCTGAGAGGAATATATGACGACTTCTGAGGGGAATATATGACGACTTCTGAGAGGAATATATGATTACTTCTGAGGGGAATATATAATGATATTGTTACAAGTTTATCACGACCAAGTAACAATTAATAAATAATAATAATAATAATAATAATAATAATAATAATAATAATAATAATAATAATAATAATAATAATAATAATAATAATAATAATAATAATAATAATAATAATAATAATAATAATAATAATAATTTATCATCTTGGACAGGTCATCATGTGTCAGCTTCCTAGTTCGTCCTTCTCATCTCATCTCTGGAAAAATATTCACAAGATTCTTTATTAAATTCAAGCGGAGTAAAGAAAGCGACCGTCTCATTTCCTCTGGCTTCCCTGTATCTTTATTTTCTTCACGTTTTTATTCAGTTTGTGGAGGGGAAAGAGAGGTAAATCCGTCGGGGTTGGGCAGCGCCCAAATTTATCAGAAATAACTAAATATTTTCTGTATTGAGAGGAAAATGTTTGAGAGACTATTATTATTATTATTATTATTATTATTATTATTATTATTATTATTATTATTATTATTATTATTATTATTATTATTATTATTATTATTATTACTATTATTATCTGTCCTTCAGCGTTGGTAGTAAGTGATCAGTCTTTTTGTGAGGAACTGCGTCCCAGCATACATAAAGGGGATTACCAATTGACCCCTAGTTATCTTCAATATGGCGCTAGACAGACACCTAAAGTCAGTACCTGACCAGCTGGGCTGTGGCTCTTACGTCAGTTTGCTTGAGGTCAGCAGTAGCATCCTGGTTGATCAGACCCTGATCCACCACGAGGCCTGGTCTCAGACCGGGCCGCTGGGGCGTTGATCCCCGAAAACCTCTCCAGGTATACTCCAAGTATACACAGACTTGTGCAGGTGAAACTTTTCTCCAGATACCGAATTGTTGTACATACGCGTCATCCATCATGGTACACTCATAATAAATGAAGGTTCCCTGAAACATCATGGAAGAGACGGGAAATAAATTTTATTTTTCACCCTCGGCGAGACCCGCTCTTCTTCCTGTGTCGTCTGGGAGATGAACGTACTCCTGGCACGCTACCTTCTCCTCGAAGACGCCTTCTTTTTCTCCTTTGTGAGAATCTGAACGTCTGTCTTTATTTCTGATTTTCACTTAATGAAATCTCTGAGACGAGAGATGCTACACGATCGTCTTTCTCCAAATTTATTTTGCTCGCCTACTGGTTTTCCCTGGACGTGTCAAGGCTATTATTGTCCTGTTTCGCCATGTTTAAGACGGGTTTTCTTGTGGAAAACGAATTATAGCTTCAGCATTACCTTCAGGAATTCTCTTTACTTTAAAAATTAGCTTATTGGGGATCTCTCGTAAGCTTAGCAAAAATCAGTCCAATACTGAGAAGGATGGTGGAGGAACGGGAGGAGATTGAGATAATCAGTCCCCCAGCCAGGCTGAGGGACTGATTCCACTTCCAGTTTCTCTGAAGATGTATGTGTAAGCACACGAAAGCGCTCAGGTGTTTTTCCTGTTTTCACTGTGGTATTTTTATATATTTGAAATTACGCATTTATTGTGATTTTTTCTGTACAGATAGACAGATATACAGATAGAGAGATGGATAGATAAACACAAAGATAGATAGGTATACAGATAGATACATAAATAGATAGAAAGATAAATAGATAGAATGATACATATAGAGCTAATTATCAAACAGCCAAATAATACACGTGGTCAGCAGTGCAATGGATCAGCCTCGTATCAATTATTCTAAAAATGACTACATATAAATCAGCTTAAGCACTTATATATATATATATATATATATATATATATATATATATAATATATATATATATATATATATATATATATATATATATATATATATATATATAATATATATAATATATATATATATATATATATATATATATATAATATAATATATATATATATATATATATATATATATATATATATATATATATATATATATATATATTATATATTATATATATTATTTTTATTTATTAACACATCAGCCGATTCCCACCAAGGCAGGGTGGCCCGAAAAAGAAAAACTTTCACCATCATTCACTCCATCACTGTCTTGCCAGAAGGGTGCTTTACACTACAGTTTTTAAACTGCAACATTAACACCCCTCCTTCAGAGTGCAGGCACTGTACTTCCCATCTCCAGGACTCAAGTCCGGCCTGCCGGTTTCCCTGAACCCCTTCATAAATGTTACTTTGCTCACACTCCAACATCACGTCAAGTATTAAAAACCATATGTCTCCATTCACTCTTATCAAATACGCTCACGCATGCTTGCTGGAAGTCCAAGCCCCTCGCACACTTAACCTCCTTAACCCCCTCCCTCCAACCTTTCGTATGCCGACCCCTACCCCGCCTTCCTTCCACTACAGATTGATACACTCTCAAAGTCATTCTGTTTCGTTCTATTCTCTCTACATGTCCGAACCACCTCAACAACCCTTCCTCAGTCCTCACTTTTGACAATCCCGCACCTCCTCCTAACTTCCAAACTACGAATTCTTTGCATTATATTCACACCACACATTGCCTTCAGACATGACATCTCCACTGCCTCCAGCCTTCTCCTTGTTGCAACATTCATCACCCATGCTTCACACCCATATAAGAGCGTTGGTAAAATATATATATATATATATATATATTAGACATTCTTATATGTACCAACGAACAGCATGAGATATGAACCATTAAAATATATATATATTTCATCAAAGAATCGGTGACTGACGCTGCCAAAAATTGACAGATGCTGTCAGCACGCTGCCCGGCTGACATCACTGATATGTTC